ATCGTGTATTTCTGACATTGAATTCTCAGTGTGCACAAAGTGTAGGCATCGAAGGCATTCATGAATGTCGACACGTTTGATTCTTTGAATCAGACGCTTCATGTTACTTGATAGCGCAGAGGCATGCCAGGGAAAAACAGAGGAAGAAAAACAAGTACTGGTTTTTCTTGATTGAAGGCTTCGATTTGTTGAAGGGCAATTCTGTATAGCCTGGTTTCCAAAGATCGTGTGGCAGGCATATCAGCAAAACAAAATGCATCGCCAAGGACCCGAATGCCATGGCAAAATGTTTTAAGTTTACTTTGTTATTTTGATACAAATAAGCTTCCGGTTGACATAGATTTGACTGGTCTCCAACTTTCCATGCTGCACTGTGCCTGACCGAAAAAAAACCCCCCTTAAAATGAGTAGTGATTCAGTGTTCCAATGATGCCTGCCATGGCTAGAAACGTGACCCGTATTATTGGCCTTTTGGAGATCATTTCAGGTCGGTTCACTGTAACACTATCGGCAAATATACTTTACTAATAGTTCCTCGATCTATGCGATTTATGAAATTTGCTTTTCCGCACTCTCAGTGAGACTAAGTACTGTTATATTAATTAAATAAAAATAAACAGTACCGTTGCATCTACGAGTAAATAATACGTTAAGGCTTCAGTATTTTCTGTTTCAGATTACGTATCTTGGCGACACACGGGAAAGGGAACATGGTTTGTTCAATCCATTGTCGATACATTTTATCGTGAAGCACACAAATATGACGTTTTACAAATGTTGGTGAATGTAAGTACTGAAATAATATGAACTATATTATTTTACATTGAAAGTGTGTTAAATTCATTAGAACACCAATCAAATATAAAACATAGCTGCCAGAAGAAGTGACTTGACGTAAGAGGTGACTTATGTAAATACAGTCCAACATGCACAGACTTTTTAAGAACCTGCGAAATGCTCTTCTGTTTATTTTGACAGTTTAATCAGAACTGTTCACTTTATGTAATATTTTATTTCACCAGGTCAATCACGCGATCTCTCAAAAGCAAACAATAGAGGGCAACAAACAGGCACCAGAGATAGTTACCAGCTTACGAAAGAAAGTTTTCTTCAACATATCTCCAGGTAAGCAAAAAGAGTCGCATCTTCCCGAGGTGTATTCGGCCGAATAATAAAGACTCGAGATCAAAAGTAAGCAAAAACAACGAACCTGGAACGTGTTAAGGTACAAACAATGCTGCCAGTCCTGCTGAAGATCTCATCCTTTTATCAAATGTCTCAAATCTCCCACCCAGTTGCAGACCCCACCTACAAAATTGTTTCCCAACTTCAATAAATCATTCCCAACTAAAGCTGGAACTTCAAGGTTATGATCTTCATAAGGTTATTTTTCTCATCAATGTTATTTCTATGTGTTTCCACCTAAATTGCACCACAACTCCTAGCATTCACGCACCTCACATTCATTTATCAGTACTTACTCCTCCTGAAGTGATTTGGGACTACAATGAATCAGGTTATCCTTTGGGCGGATTGCTGGCACAATTTAGTCTCCATCTTACAGATTTCAAATATTCAATGTTACATGTTGTCCCTAAATCTGATCTTCACAAAACTCGTGTAATTTACAATCTTTTTTTTTTTTTATCCCAACCTGGTCTTGGTTGATTCTAACATTCCAAAAGAGTTCTCTGTGGCACAGTACGACTTCATTGATGCTGTTATCGCACATGTCCAACATTTTGTTCGTGGTGCTCTTTTAGGTTTATCTTATATTCAAGATGTTTTCCACATTTTACCGATTATCAACTGCGTCCATCCCTTAAAGGCCCAGTGGGTCACCTGTGACCTACACGTTTGACACGTCCCCACCCACACCACACATAATGAATCCACTTCATTTTGCCATTTCCTATTCCTTATGTACTAGTTTATCCTTGTTGACCAATTAGAAACTAGATCATTATCCTTCACTTCACTCAAATATGTCTGCCTCCATAAGAAGGAGTTAATGCTATTGTCTAGTGGGTTTTTATGTTTCTGTATTGTCATCTCAAGGTAAATAATAATTTCAATATTCTGCCTTTTCATTATAAATACAATAGTCTTAAACCACACAGAAATGTTTTATACAGTTGTTAGCTACGCTTCCAGGTTTAAATTAATTATTTTTATGTTGTTATTGTAATAAAAAGAGGTTTGTGATTTCTTGAAACTTAGTCATTTGCTTACCTCTAAAGCCCAGTGGGTCACCGGTGGAACATAACCAAAAACTAGGTCAATGTTGCCCAAAACATTTTTTTCAACATTTATTGATCTNGCACAGTGCAACTTCATTGATGCTGTTATCGCACATGTCCAACATTTTGTTCGTGGTGCTCTTTTAGGTATATCTTATATTCAAGATGTTTTCCACATTTTACCAATTATCAACTGCGTCCATCCCTTAAAGGGCCAGTGGGTCACCTGTGACCTACACATTTGACACGTCCCCACCCACACCACACAAAATGAATCCACTTCATTTTGCCATTTTCTATTCCTTATGTACTAGTTTATCCTTGTTGACCAATTAGAAACTAGATCATTATCCTTCACTTCACTCAGATATGTCTGCCTCCATAAGAAGGAGTTAATGCTATTGTCTAGTGGGTTTTTATGTGTCTGTATTGTCATCTCAAGGTAAATAATAATTTCAATATTCTGCCTTTTCATTATAAATACAATAGTCTTAAACCACACAGAAATGTTTTATACAGTTGTTAGCTACGCTTCCAGGTTTAAATTTATTTTTTATGTTGTTATTGTAATAAAAAGAGGTTTGTGATATCTTGAAACTTAGTCATTTGTTTACCTCTAAAGCCCAGTGGGTCACCGGTGGAACATAACCAAAAACTAGGTCAATGTTGCCCAAAACATTTTTTTCAACATTTATTGATAAATATGCTTATTACAACCCTATTACCTAGGTATTAAACTTTTCATGCAAGAAAAACATGTCTTGGGCCTTTAAGGGTTTTTCCTGGAATGATCTGTTTTATTATGAGAAATGTTTGCCAATAGGTGCAAGTTGTTCGTGCCAGATTTTTTAATCTATGAGTAAAGCTATGCAATGGATTATGTTGGAGAGATTTCATGATTCGGCCATGTCCTGTATACTAGATGATATCTGTTTCATTGGACCTCAAAATTCCAAGAAGTGTCAGGTTGATTTTTCTTGTGTTATGCACATGGATAAACATTTCCATTAACGCAGTAAAAACCTTTAGTCTGACCACTTGTTTAACGTAAACAACCTTTACTCTGACCACTTTTGTTTATTTTATCTCATCGAAATATATTCAATACAAATGAAACCTTGGATAGGCTTTTAGGGTTTAATCTGAAATAAAATATCAGGCATCGGTCAAACGTGTCTAATTTGGTTCAGTTTTGTTGTGGGATATGGTTGATTGGGCGAGTAATGACCCACCCACTTATTGTCCATGTGGTTCAAGTATGGTGATTTTGATGACCAAGGTAACTGCTTACTCCCTTGTTTCATTAAGTTATCTGCTATTCGAGGTACTCTGTTCGAACCAGAAATCTCATTGTGCAACCTTAAATTACTCCTTATGTGCCCCCTAGTCATGCGATTCCCAGATTGTAACTTACTTTGATGTGTTAAGGATCTTATTATTTTTTTACTATTAAAAATGATAATTTTCAGTCATATGCACTTTACCTCATTTGCCTTTGAGCAAAAACAGAGCTGCGTTGTGCTAATGATCATTTGGCTACATAAAACAGCAATTTAGATAATTGTGTTTATGTAGGGAATGTCTACATCAGTGAGATTTAAGTCATCCAGCTTTTTAGCTGCTTGATATTTACCCGCATTGTTACGTAGTGCAGTTTAAGCAGCTACACTGGAAGATTACTTGCTTCGTTATTTCATTTTAATTTGGACACATTCCACCTTCCCCCATCACCCCCCTTAGTCCTTGTGTTTTTCTCTATTTTTTTCTTTTTTCACTAACCAGAGTCTCTATTTCTGCGCCAATAACTATTGTGGTTTCATATCTATTTTATTCTGAATTAATCTTGGTTGCACCCATTAAACTATATTATTATTATTATTTATATTATGACATTTATATAGCATGGGGTGTATGATAATCCCCCATTTTTGTAAGGTTATATCTCATTATTCTTCGTCATTAATAAATGACAATTTTCAGTCATATGGACTTTATGCTATTTACCTTTGAGCAAAAAGCTGAGCTTTGTTGTGTTGGTGTGATTATTTGGCTACATGAATAGAATATTTCATCCACAGAGGTGTCTCTTGGCTGTAAGATAATATGAAATAATATTCAAATAAATCTGAACTGAAAAAAAAATTAATTAATTCTATAAAACTCAATATTTTGAAGAAACATGTTGTTGTAAAGAACAATTTTCTTGCTGCTGTCGTATCACCTGGTAATTGTTTGTTTTCTAGGTGAAGAAGAGTCAGTCCAAGACCAAAACTAAAGACAACTGTCGATGGTTTCATGCACAGAGAGCCCGCAAACGAAGTACACACACTGGACAATAGAAGTGTCACCCCCTAAATCAGAGTAATAAAAGTAGGCAGATCTTCGGTACTTATAATGTCTGGTCTACTTATAATGTGACTAATGAGTATGAAACCGCTATACCATGGAATTGTATTGTTGGTCTTGTACATGTACAGCAAATATTATTCCTGTCTTCCTCCAGTATGGCAAGATACAGGCAATTACATAACGGTTATATGCGTCAAGTTTTTAACCTGAAGAGACGGAATATAGGCAATGTCAGAATATCGACACAATTGAATTGTTCAGTCAGAATCGTGCAGAGGGTCTGGTCTCGGTATGGAAACACTGGATCAAGAGACAAATTGCCTCTGATGGGTTGTCCAAGAAAAACTACTGGTGGTGAAGACCGACGACTGATTTTGATGTCCAGGTTGTCAAAGTTGGACACTGCTTGTCAGTTGACAAGACAGTGGAACAATTTTACACATAAGAATGTGTCTGTGAAAATTACTAGGCGTCGGTTAAATGCTCAGAGAGTGTATAACAGGGTAGCAAGACAAAAAAACTCTTATATCGTTACAAAACAGGCAAGGTAGAGTGAACTAGGGTCAACAGGATCTGGAACTGGACAGTCCATGGCAATTGGTCCTATATATTTTTTTCTGGTGGGTTTCGCTTTGGTCTGACCTCTGATGACAGATGGGTACGATGCTAGCGAACTGCTGGTAAAGCATTTGAAGCACATGCACTGAATTTTTGAACCCGGAGCAGCATATTTATCATGGTGTGGGGCTGCATCAGCATCCATTGCGTAGGCGAATTGGTAGTGGTTGATGGAAACATGAATCACTAGAAATATATCGATGTTTTGGAGTCAGGCTTGCTACCATCTATTACTAACATGTTTGGTGACAGGAGTTATCCATTTGTTCACCAGGGTGACAATGCTCCTTGTCACAGGCCCAGAGCAGTTGATGATTGGTTTGAACAACAGGACATTCGCAGGTGATGTGGTCTGCCCAGAGTCCGGATGCACGACCAGATGCAAACATACCTGTAATAGAAAATGTGTGGAATGATATGTCAAAACTTTTGACAAATGTCCGTCTAACCAGAAGGGAATAAAAGTTATATTATATAGAAAATAGTTATATTCAGTGTTTCACGCTTGGGCCAGCATAATCCCTGAACTCATCAGACAATTATATGAATCCTTGCCTCGTAGGCTGGCACCTATTATTAGGTCACTTGGCTATGCCACAAGGTACTGGACCTGAAAGTGCATATTTTGGTAGAATGTATACTTGGTTCTCATTTTGTGATTTTTTTTTGTGAAATTTGATGTTAATAAAATGATACCAGGAGCATAATATTCCACAGTCATTTATCTCCCCCATAGTATTGGTGCAGTAGGGGAGACACTGCTATTGTTCAGTGTGTGTACTTGCATTTTTTACTAGATTCTATTTTAAAATGGAGATATTAGGCAGTGCTCTATGAACATTTCATTCGCCTTTGGTGTAAATATTACAAAGGATTACGCAGTGCAGAGGTCAAATGTCTGATATTAGGGACATTCTGTCCAGCTCTTAAGGAATTATGGGGTAACATTTCATTAAACAGACTTGTAATTATTTCTGAATATATGTCTCGCCGTCTACAGGAGATACATGCAGCACTTAGACATTAGCTTCTAAATAACGCAGTCTGATGTGGATAAAATATATGCTCTTGTTGATAATGTACATAAATTTGGTGATAGTTGGCGGGGTCTTATCACTAAATGAATATTTTTACCTCTCCGGAAATCAATATAGAATATCAGATAAGATGGGCATGAATAATCTAAATCTGCAATGTGGTATAAGATATGGATTTTCACACTGGTATTTTANTTCTATTGTTCAGTGTGTGTACTTGCATTTTTTACTAGATTCTATTTTAAAATGGAGATATTAGGCAGTTCTCTATGAACATTTCATTCGCCTTTGGTGTAAATATTACAAAGGATTACGCAGTGCAGAGGTCAAATGTCTGATATTAGGGACATTCTGTCCAGCTCTTAAGGAATTATGGGGTAACATTTCATTAAACAGACTTGTAATTATTTCTGAAGGAGACACATGCAGCACTTAGACATTAGCTTCTAAATAACGCAGTCTGATGCGGATAAAATATATGCTCTTGTTGATAATGTACATAAATTTGGTGATAGTTGGCGGGGTCTTATCACTAAATGAATATTTTTACCTCTCTGGAAATCAATATAGAATATCAGATAAGATGACCATGTATAATCTAAATCTGCAATGTGGTATAAGATATGGATTTTCACACTGGTATTTTGTTTTATGTACCTTAGCCCATGTTGATTACAGTGTCTGCAATAAAAATATTAGAGACGGTTAACAGGTCTGATGTGATCATTTGTAAACGAAAGCACATGCAATTGGAGGCGTAAAAAACCTTTTTGATAAGTGGGTATGTTGTAATAGAAATATAATAAACGTACAAAGAAAATTTTGTAATAGACTTGCATAGTTGGTTCTGATTTTTATTCGAATATTAAATGTAACAAATGTATTACAAAACATTTGTTTATTTATATAAGCTGTGAATACCTGTAGCTACGATGTTAATTCAAATGTCTGCCGGGCATTCTATTCATAGGCGTCCGATTTCCAACAACTGTACCAGCACAGCTTTTTCTGACCGTACCATTGGCGAATCCACTGGGGCAAAGTAAGCCCTCTCCCTCATTTCTTAGCGACGAAACCACATGTGGGCATGTATTATCCTTACCCCACTCTTTCCCTAACAGACAAAACCAGTCAATATTCCAATTCATGCGCTCTGTATTACAATAAAATTGTCCTGGGCTCGGAATCTCGAAAGGATCGCTTTGTTGCGCACGCGCTATAGCATGGCTAGCGTGCGCTATCCCGTATCTCGAAAGCATCGCTATTTTGAGCGCCTGCGCTATCCCGCATCTCGAAAGCTTCGCAAATCCCGGGGTCGACGTTAGTTCCAAGAGTTTTCCATCCCGTGTTTTCTAGCTTCTCTTCTTCTTTTGTCTGGATTTTTATTCTTTTTTTCTCTTCTGTCATTGTCAGATTGGACTCATTGATTTGTGAGTATTAGAAAATTAATTTTAATCCCCCCCCCCCCCCACCCCCACCCTAGGAAAATTAATTTTGGCAGATAAATCATGTACTGTAACAGAGAATTTCAGTTCAAATAACAAAGAAGGAATCGGGTTGAAATAGAGTTATTATTTATTTCATATGATGAATACAGTATATTTATCATGATATTTATCAAGACCTGAAATATATCATTCCTTTGTGTTACAAGTAACAACTTCATTAGCATACTCAGTATAAATGCATATTAATTAAACAATCAGATAGGCCTGCATAATTTTAGAAAACTTTGTATCCAATTTTTTATCTCATTAATTCTAAAAAATTTAAATTGTCTATTTGAAAGGAAATAGTAATTATTAAAAATTATTTATAATGTTCAAAAGCATCTGCATTAGTCAATTGTACTGATTTTGATACAGTGCTACACATTACTTGTGCAATTAAGTATTAATATATTGTGAATCATCCAATTTTTTCACTTTTTATATACTTTATAATTATATCAATAAGTACAGTATTAGGAGAGGTTTCTGCAGTCTACTCACACCAACTTTTTCTCACCTGCCTATTAGTATGCCTATTGAACACTACTTACTACAATACCTCACTGTACACTATGAACTCATGCAGTTATTAAGCTAAAACCCATTGAGTAACACTACAAAACAGCACTGGACACATAAACACATGCAATGTTATGGCTACAGTAGATACAGCACACATGGAATAAACCCACTAACACGGACAGAAGCAGGGTGCAAGGGATAGCTTTGAAGCAAACAAATAAAAGATGATCATTCCCATTCCTTACCGCTGATCTAAATAGATTGACCCAGCACTGCACAGACTCTAGCAGAAAGCAATCAGCTAAACTGAATGACACGCCTCTTGTTTCCAAAAAATTCATTTATGTACTTATTCTGCAAGAAGAGGCATGTCAATCTGTTAAGCTGATTGCACTCAGCAAGAGTCCCTGCAGTGTTTAACTGGTCTACATAGACAGTTGGTATTTTTTGTTTACATTACACATGAAAACACGTCAATAACCCCCTGTTATTTATTCCATAGAATAGCACTGTACACCTCATGAACACATGCAGATACAAGGCAGCCTATAGCAGGTATAGCACACGTAGGAATTAGCCCACTGATGCCTAGAAGCAGGGTGCTAATGGGATAGCTGTGAAGCATATAAGTAAAAATGACAATCACCTAGATCTCTATTCAATTTTACTGATACCATGCACAATTTTAAATGAAAATATATCAAGAAAGGCCCATTCTCACTGTAACTATCATTCTGCTAAAATCAACCCAGCTCAGTGGAGATTCTTGATGAATGTAATCAGATTTACAGATATAAGTTCCTTACTCTGGTCTACTCAATTAATACATAGCCTGCTTTTCTATACTCTACTCAACACCAGGAGGTTTGTAAATCTGATTGCATTCAGCATGAGACTCAACTGAGCGGGGTCAATTAATCTGTGTAGAACAATAGTGTAATTGGGAATGCATCTTTACAATCATGAAAAATGGAAAGTTTTGAAGGGTGCTTTAAAAGACTAGACATTGACACTAGGTGTATGTCAGCATTTTACCAAGACATGATTACATGTACAACAATACTACAGAGCAATACTACATTTACTTTACCTTTGTAATACATACCAATAAATCTTTCAGTGACCTGTAAAAAAGCGACATGTATTTTAATTAATGACTGTAGAAAAATAAATTGTAAAGTGTACCTGTATTTCTAGGTTTGAATCCATGAAAAACTAATTAATCATCTTTTGATATAATAATCTTTTTCACATTAACTGATTGGGTCTTTGTCTCACCCGGAAACATGACCAGTCTCCCCCTACGGAAACTCTGGTACAGGTGTCTTCTCATCTGAGGTTGACAGAAAACAATGTCATATGGATCTACCTTGTTTGCCAAACAAACAGCTGTAGCAATTGCAAAAAGTCCACAGTCTTGTCCACCAACTTGTCTTTGTGGTGAGTGCATTTCCACACTCATTTTACCATTGACCCCTTCACAACAATTTGAATACAAAGTCAACAACTGAGCCCTTAAATTAGGTGTCAGTCTGGGCGTTAATGAATCATACACAAGTACCTTTTTGTTTAAACATGCAGACACTACCCAATGGGAACCTACATGATGAATCTGAATCCCATCTGTGACTACAGGCTGTACCCCCAAACCAGATGCCAAGAGGAGAGTATCTAAAAGCCCCCCCAACAAAGGAAATTCTAATTTTATAAGTCTTTGTGCCGCTAAAATATGTCTATCATTTAGCCATCCATTCCCCAACAGTGTATCTATGTCCCCTGTAGTTAGCCTGACACCTCTAACAGTGAGACTTTCATTTTCAATCTGTGCCCTGTCATTCTCTGTGCTTGATTCAGACTCTGAAGAAATATCAATTACTACCTCCTCTACACCTGAGCCTACTTTACAGGTAGATGCACCACAAGTAGATGAGTCTATTATCCCTTTTCTCATAGTCCCTAAGGAGCACCCAGTGAACAGACTATTCTTGTCAGCCTTCTGACCATGACGTTTCACATTGCTAGCAAACCTCCTCCTTTTGAGAGGAGCATACTGACGCTTCATCTTTCTCTTCACAGGAGACTGACCTACCACAAGCAGACCATTTCTCGGCAAGGCATAAAACACCTCATCCCTAACCTCTATCAGCTTTTTATCTAACGATGACAAAAACTTGGCGTCTTTTGTTAGGTATAAGGAATCTATGATGGACTTCAGTGTTGTAATGCAAGACCTTTGAAGGGCCAAGGTCTTGTCTTTCTTTGACTCTGGTAGGTCTGCTACCTCCATGGTATTAGTGAATACACCAGAGCTACCCTGTGGTGTGTTCTTAGAGCTAGTGGAACTATCTGGGGATATTATGTCACTATCAAGGGATAGTGTGGGGTTAGACCTGTACTTAGAGGAGAGTTCCTCCCACCCGCATGCTACATTTTGGAATATGCCACACATATGTTTGCAGGGCAATGCATGGAGCAGCCAATCTTTGCAAGTGCAAGATGGAAAAGCTTTTTCATCACCCATGTTCACCTCATACAGTTGTCCAGCACTCCTGACTGTATACTTTTTGTTACCTAAGGCAGTAATGCTTTCCTTGGCAGAGGCATAAGCTGTTCTTTTCATCACATGCTCTACTAACCATTGTGGTCGGTCTCTCAGGTAGTAGGGCACACTGTCTGCATATGGCCTGTATGCAGAGGATGCAAACACATTGAGCTGGACATACCTGGAATTTTAAAAGTAAATGGTTACACCAGAAAAAAAAAAATTTTTTTCTTAGACCCTGAAGAAGGCATGGAAGCTGACAATTTTTTTTTTAACCAATCACACCGTGTAGTTGATCATAATAGATGTTGTTTTCACTGTAATTCATTTAATGGTTGCACCACATCTGAATAACTGTTGATTTCTTTGGGTAATAAGGTGTTGTGGACATTTCCTCTATTGTGCTTCATTTGATTGTGTAAGTATTGGAAAAATGGGCAGTTATAACATTTTTCAAAATAATATCAATATTACGACTTTACACTAACTTCTTGTAACAACTAGGCAGGAATGTTGTCAGGATTACTGTCATCAGGTCTGAGACACTGCATTTCTTGTAACCAACCAGAAAAGAGTGCTTCAGGAGTTCATTTTGCCTCTCAACACCATTTGTGGTAAAAATTGTGCTTAGAGGCCCTGAAGTTTGCAGGAACGCTCTAACCCACCTCTGGAATAGTAAAGGTGTCAACTGTAATACTCAAAATATTTTTAGCTTGATTTTTAAAATAATGTATTAATAATGTATTTCTTACTATGACATGAAATAGTGCAAAGGACAAATATAAAAGTTAAAGTATGATGTTGGTATTATGATGCATGTATCTCCTTGATATCTGATACAACAAACTTGTCATGCTAACCTTTTTTTCTGTCAGCCATGTTCTGGAAAACCATTCTCTCAACTTTTGATTTGAACCCCAAATAGGCATGTTTTTTAACTTCTCACATGCAGTGGCATAATCCAACTCAGTGGTTGCATTTGCTATATCCCTGAACTTTCTTTTTAGTTCAATACGGTGGTCTTCAAAATTGTGAAAAAAAGTTAGATATGTTAATTTGGAAATATTTATGCATAATACTCAAGTGCATATAAAAGCATTAGTTATGCTGCAAATTATTTAATTATCAAAATTGAGAAACAGTTCCGATAATATACTTGCCTTAAATCGATGCATGTAAGTTTTAAAAGAAGTAATAATTGGGCACGAGTTTATAGAGGCTCTTTTTATGCACCATAACTGAAAAGACAAACCCAAGTTATTTAAAGGATTAGATATATTTTGTCTTAATATTGTTATATAATACCACACCTGTTACACCATGGCTGGCCTTTGCTAGCCACTCATTCCATGCTTTTTCTCTGTGAAACATGCAGAGTCGAACAACTAGACCTAAAAGTTTAAGAAAATTTGCAAAAGCTATGAATGAATATTTTGATGTGATATTAACAAATCATTATAATATTTTTTTCAATTGACCTTGCCTAGCTGTATACTGCATCTTTGTGTAGTATTTATAACTGAAGGAAAGTGTTTACCTTCGAATGTCTTTTCAACGGCATTTATCTCCGCCAGGCAGTAATCAGCTAAGAAATCTCTTGGGGTCCACCTTGGGTTCCAACTTTTGAGGATTCTGAGGGCTTCTCTGATACTTTTTTCATCCTCATGCTCTGGCATGAAAATGGCAACAACTGAATAATTTACATTTGTTTTGACACACAGGAAAAAAAGTGGCATGGCATATTTTACAGTCCTGTACGTGGCATCCAATAGACACAAGTCATTCCCATATTTATTTAATAGCCTCTGTTGCCACTGTGACTGATAAATAAACAGAAACCCTTTTCTTTCTTCTTCCACAAAATGAGCCTCTCTGTAGAAAATTTTATCCTCCGGCTCTCTCTTTTGCCACTCTTCAATTATACTTCTTAAGTTTTCCTGATCATTCTGCAAAATGACAATAAATTTAGATATAAATACACATGTAAACTAAGGTATTTCATGATGTATGCATTGAGAAGAAAAACTTTTACCATGGATTTTTTTTACATCATATATTCATCAAAATGATTTTAAAAACACATAAATAGAGCAGGTTAAAATTTAAGATATTATAATATTAGTGTATAGTGTCTTTGAAGAACACTGCCCCCAAAACAATAAATTACATAATAATAACATTCTAACATTCCTACAGTAACTGTACATGAAGAAAAGATGATAAAACATTCTTAAAACATATTACCTCACTCTTCCTATCAGCCATTTTAGCCTTAGTCATGATGTTTCTAATATCCTGGGAAGTGGGGTTAAACCGCCGTCTATTTTTATCCTCATTAAGGATACCCGCTTCTGTATTCACAAAGCTTTTTATATGCCTTGTCATTTCTGCAACACTTCTTACTCCACTTTTTGTGAGACATTTTATTTTGTTGACCACCTCGGCATCCACTGGCTCTCGTAGGCATGCAACCTAGGAATGGATAAAACTGAGCCATAATTATTTACCAGACATGTATCTAAAATGCACACAACACTTATACTTTGTAAAACACAGGCCTTTAAGATGGATGAACCTACCCTACAATTATAATGTGCTTACCTGCCCTGTGGTTGGATGGTTGCAATGGCCCGATGGGAATTGCATGTAGTACTCGACTACACCCTCAATTTCTGAAGCATCACTAAGGCTGTGCCTCAGGCGTTTCGATGTCTCTGCTCTGTGCCAGGTGGTGTTTTGTGTTATCTAAGAAAGCAATATCAAATGTAATGATAAATATGTGTAGGATGTTAGCCTTTTACAATATGTGTGTGTGTATATATGTAATTGGGTACAATAAGGTGTATGATTTTTAAAAAGGAAGTTTGCCTCAAGCCAGTGCCAAATACTATAACAAAATAAGATAAACATTTACAGATGATAGAGATTTTTTCACATTTTAAGTTGCAATGAACAGCTTCATTGCTGAAGACAATTCTAAATACAATCATTAGGTGAAAAATGTAACTCTAACCTTAAATCCAGGAAAACGCACAACCTGTGAAACGTATATCTGAGCACTACAGTTTTGTTTTTTAGTAGACTGAAACATTTTTCTCCTTTTGATATATACATGATCTTCTTTCTGAAAAATATAAATGTTTTACCCTGTGTGTTATCAAAGCCCTTAAACTGACATTTAATAATAAAAGAACCAAATACATTTTAGACAATTAAGTCACCAATCCAGAAAAAGAAGCCAAGAAATATGCAATAATTGAACTATACAAGAAACTAAAATGACAAACAATTTATGAACAGATAGAATTTTAAAAAGCCACATTAGATTTTAAATTTTTAAATGGACTACCCTAATTACATCAAAGACATACTGAGAAATACAACCATAGACACTACAGGCAGAATCAGCCGATCATTTAATAAGAGAAATCTCTATTTAGCAATTGGCAGAAATAAAGACATACTAACTAATGGCCCAATAGGGACCTTGATTAAGATATGGAACTGCCTACATTCTAAAAATCAAAAAGCCCAAATACTTGGATACTTTTAAAATATTGTTTTCAAAAAACAGAAAGTAAAATTTATGTACACAACTATTAATTCATGTAGCTTTAAGATTTTTAATAACATAACACCTTCGGTTTTATTCTTATTACTTTTGTTATTCAAACTCATTTCATTTTTACCTCATTATCATTTTAATTTTATAATTTATTCATTTCACAACATTTCATTTCAACCTCCCAGAGGGCTATGTATAAGATAAGTGTGTGTACTTAACATGTTTTACCCTTTTTAAAAAAAGTTTATTATTATTTTCTTATTATTACACTGCTTTGCACATATTACATCTTATTATGTAAGTAATGAAAACATTTACCATTTTCTTCTCTGTTTTCTTTTTATAATCTTCTTTCTTTTTTTTTCCGTAGTCCTTTCCCAGGTGGCATACTAAAACTAGTCTCCCCAAGTGAATATATGGAGTACCATCGTAGGGAATTTCTGGAGCATTCAAACCTCTCTGTGACTGCCAGTGAATCACTGGTGACTTCTTTACATTTTTATTCGTATTCTTCCAATCTGAACAAAGAAGTGACATTTCTCATTTAACAATGTTTATATATGTCAATGAACATCTGGGTACATATTAAAAAAACCAGCCTTTGGTGGACACGCCCCCTTCTGTTCTTTATACAACTTACGCAACTTATCCATGCGAAAAACAAATAAAAATAAAAATACAACGTGCTTACCTTCTCCAAATGACTTGCTCTTTTGGAGAATAACAAATTTGGAAGATGTTTCCCTTTCAAATGTCGAAATTGCTGCAGTTACGGACTGTATGTTTTTCATCTCCATTGATCACAATTTCGCGGGGATTATAGCGTCATTAGCGATGACCTATTTATATCCGACCTTCACATTAACGCCACATGCGCAATGCAAGTGCGCGGTAGACCTTAAAACTGAGTCTTGGAACTAACGTCGACCGCAACAAACACCGCCGTGTATAAAATACTATAATTGTGCATAACCCTTTTTTCACCATCTGAAGACTGTGCCGTATAAATTTTTTGTCAGTCGTAACGCATTTTAATTACTCTCATTCTTCACACTGTAAAAATTTGTAAGTCGAGTGTCGAGTCGTCTGCAACTGCAACAGAAATTCCTGACGTAAATGCTCTTTAGAAAAGGAAGTTCTAAAGTTAGAGTAGAGGATACGCTTTCTTCCATTCAGGGATGCCTAATTTATGTCGATGAAAAAAAGGAAAAGTTTTATTCGACCAAAGAAGCGCCGATAAAAGGAAAGGTAGGCAAATAATCTTTACAATAACTCTAGGTCGTAGTGAAGTGTTGCAAATTTTAAATGGCTTCCTTAAAATGTTATTTCAATTCATTAAAATAAAGTAGGTCACCGTCTGGGGTTCATATTTTCTTTTTGTGTGCGTGCCTTGCATATAACGTTTCTAGGGTAGCTAGCTAGGATATTCTGTTTGGTTGTTGAAGTTTTAAATAGGTTTTGCATTCATGCTTGATGAAATATTAAAAGAAAATAGATTGTGGAAGGATGGCGTGGAAGTTGTCATATGTTGTCTTTTTATTTGGCTTTTATCTTTTATTCCTCCAACTTCCAAGGATAGTTGTTTACTTGAAGGAAGAAAGAATCCAAGAAAAACCCTTATATATTCTATCACATGGCCTTATTGTTGTTATTCTATTGATTTTCATTTATTTATTTATTTATTTGTGAACTCATTATATGTGTAACTGATAATGCCTGCCAGCATCATCATGCTACCACAATTCTGGATTTTTCCGTGGCACAGTTCTTGTAATGTAATTAAACGTTATTGAAAGCAAATGCACCACGTAAATAGTGGTAAATATGTATAATATGAAAAAAATTAAGTAAGGTGATATCACAATTAATTTTTACCTGTGACAACTGTAGTTTTGTTGATGATGATGATGATGATTGTTGTTATTGTGCCAACAGAGTCAAATGCATTTGTCTTTTTACTCTAGACTCCATGTTTATGTGAACATTGGATTGTCAACTTTGTCAAAATTTTAATTAGCATCATCTTAAAAATGACAATAAGACTGTACTGTTTAATAATAAATGATATGAAAAAAGAAAGTGTCAGTCGGTCAATTTTTCATTTCAGTTGCAAAATTCTTATATTCTTCTGAAAGTTTTAAATTGTGGCCTAAAATGTTAACTTCACATGCAACATGTTTCAGCATTTTTTTTCACCACTCTTATTTTATCAAGCTAACCTTTTTCCACATTTTATTATTGCAGTAAATAAAGATGCTTAAGATTTCAAGGCTGGATATCAACCTGCCTGCAGACCTAGTTCAGACATGTGCTGGTGTGAGGGAGAGCCAGCTCTGCAAGTTTATTGCAACAAACAGTCAGGGTAGGAAAGCAATGTCACAATATATTTGGTCTGAATTAAAATATATGACAGTTCTTTTTTTTCTTTTTATTTAATTGAACACATAAGACATAATTGACCTAGTGAAATTGGTGTGACATTGACAGTTTGTATTTTTTGTCATTTTAGACTGGACACTAATCTTGGACATATTCTCATAAAATGACTTATTTCATCTGCAATTTCTATTTAGTTTGACATCAAATTGTATTACAAAATTGTTTTCGTGGGTATATGCTGCTTCCAGTGGTTATTCAAGAATGTTGTACTTTTGTTATGTGAAACAGATGTGGTTGTTATTAACTTTTGATTGAATTTTACTTCCACTAATTTGTAACTCGTTATCATTTAGTCCAGGCTAAAAAGTTAAGACTCCTGGATTTAAATGGTTCAGGTTTTAACTTCTTTAAGCACATAATCTTGTGAACATATTGCCTGTATTTATGTGTGTGTGTGTGTTAGTGTGTGTGTGTGTGTGTGTGTGTTAGTGTGTGTATGTGTGTCCATCCATCCATCCATCCATCCATCAATTTATTTAATATTTATTTATTTTCCAAGCCTCTCCGAGTACACACAACTGTATATTAACCTTCCAGGAGAGTTTCAGCACAGCATTGAGGTGCGTGGCAAGCAGAACAATGTGATCTCACTGGAGCTTTCTAACCTGTCAATCTCCTTCCAAGATGGACACTTTGTGGCTGAAGTAGAGCAGGCACTGAAAGTGTTTCAGGGAAGATCAGAGACTGAGAATGAGGCTGTTATTCCAGATGCCCACGTCACCAGCAGTCAAAATGCAGAACTGGAGAGCAGTCACTCAGACAGTGGTCAACCACCTGACCAGGTGACCCCTCAAGACCATTATGTAAGTCAAGTTCCCATGGCGACAAATGTTACACAGGGCCATCAACCTACTCCCGAGCCTTCTCCTCGGAGATTATTTAGAAATATTTCTAGGAAAAGACCTGCTGAAACTGTCACAAGTGGTGCAATGAAATTCCCAAGAATTATCCAAGAGGAGAGACTGCTAAGTTTAACATCAGGCACAACTACCACAGCACTGACACAACAAACACATTCGGACACAAAACAGACTGAGGAAGTCAGTGTAGAGGAGTCTAGGCATGATATTGTTGAAGTGAAGGTAGAAACTGATGATGATGATTATGAAGACTTAACTGGTGCTATTGATGACAGTACAGGTGACAGTGCTAATAAGCCGTCATCTTCGTACATTCACAGTGTTCCCATGGTGTCACAAGCACTAGCCTCACAACACGTTGTATTAGGACACAGTTCTTCATCCACTGGGCACCACACTGGTCAGCACACAGCAGTCCAGCACAGTGGTCAAGCCACAGCCAGAAGACAAGAACAGGTAAAGGTAAGTCCTATTTGATTGTGTTTGATGTTAAAAATGACTGTCACACCTAACACACTGAAATCCAATTTTGGCACACCCAGAATGCTGTCACATATCTAAGATCTTTATAATTTGGCTATAGTAAACTGTAAAACATTGTCACATCAGTTCAGTGATACTGCTAATATCATGCACACATAATACAATGTTACATGTAACACAATGTCACACCTAACACACTGTCAGTTTGTTGAATAAAATGATGAATCATCTCTGAGTATTGGTTTCTGGAATTAAAATCAATTTTGTGACTCCAGCAGGATTCTATGTATTGTATGCAAAAAATGTTGTGAGTTCATATGTTATTATGTAAACCATGTAATTAGTGTAGATTTACAGATTATGAGCTGATAATATCTCTGAAATTGAGGTCTGATAAAACAAGATTGACTGATAACATTATCATCGGTTTTTTTGACCAATCAGAAAAAAGGTCTATTGGTCGTTTTATCGGTGCATTTCCTGAGGTATGCAAAATAATATATCGACTTCAGTCAGTCTATAATTGTATTTTATTATTATCATTAAGTTGCAATGTTGCTATATAAACAGGTGAAATAAAAATATAGAATATTAAAAAAAACGTATGAAAGCACCATAAAATTCTGTACTAGTTGTTGGTGGCTTCTTGAATTTAAGATTTTGAGACCTAAAATTACCCTGTGATGTGTTGAAAAAAAAATAGCAGTTACATAACTTTACTTAAATTATCCAAGTGGATCTTCCTATTGTGTATAAGACATTTATTCTAAAAGATAGTATAGTTGCTTTGATATTGACATGGCTCCCTGGAAGGTCTCTGGAAGATAACACTCAAATAAATTCTTGAAGTGCAAGAAAAACATACTTAAAGTTTTGAGTGTCTGGGCATAATTTATTTTTATAAAAGGATGTTAAGTAGAAAATATGATTTCAGAGTCTGTAAGATCTATCCCCTTGAAATCCCCTTGTAACTACAGCCATTCTGCCATACTACCTGTAGAACATTGAATGCATATATATATATATAGAGAGAGAGAGAGAGAGAGAGAGAGATTATTAATTTGATGCTTCTAGCTATGAGAGTCTGTGTGACTGAATGCCTAATCTCAGCAGTATCAGGGTGAAGAATATGGTATCTTGAGTGAGGAAATGGCAAAATATTTTCAATAAAAACTTGTGGCTGTTGTATGAAATTAACCCAAGGTAAAACCTTGTATTCGTAAAGTTTAAGTGGGATATATATATATATATTTAAGAAATTCTTGTCATAGGGACCTAACAAGGTGTTTGGCAAAGAGTGTTTTTTTTTTTTTTTTAGCTTACAGCAAATGTAGTCAAGATCTTGAACTTGTTATATATATGTATCTGACCAAGGTGAAATAAGGATCTTTGCTTGATGGAAGTTGTGAATCCACTAAATTAACTTCATTAAATTTAAAAGTTGTAAAATGCTAAACCTGCTCATCAGTTAGGTTAGATTTGTCATACTACCTATCTGACCATTCATCCTTCCTTATTTCCTTACTATGGCCACAAAGTTGGTTACAGGATTTTGCCATGCTCATCGATATTTTATTATTGGACAAGTTTGCCTGTCTGCTCAGCTTGTGTAATGCTTTCAAGGGAAACTAGCAGGGGCGTAACCAGACCTTTAAAAATTGTACGCACAGATTTTTAAAATACCCAGCATGTACAGCAAAATGTAGACTAACGCAACAGATGAAGGACAGCGTAATCACAGCATATGTACCACACATCATAGCTAAAATTCCATTAATGATAAAATCATCATTTAAGTCAAAAATGTTCTCGCGATTTAATAAAGTTTCAATATTTTTATATACCCAGAAGGGTATATTCATTTAAAAGGAGGCTAACTTCGCATTAGCAGACCCCCCCTCCCCTCTTCGAATAATCCTGGATCCTCCTCTGAGTTGAACTTAAATGCGGTTTCATCCAGCTTTCATGCGGGTGCATGGCC